TTTCAGAACATAGCTAATTGAAGTTTTTCCCATTCAACTATCATATCGCGACGTTAGAATTATCTTGTGCTATCTCCATGTTTTTGCAAACTGAGAAAATCGATGTCAAAGTTTGAATTTGTTCGCAGCTAAATTGAAAAAATATTTTGAGAATTTAGGTATTTTTTAAGATTTAAAAATGTTTTATTATTAATTTTTAGATGAAAAAAACTTTTTAAAATTACGCTAACGCCCTTTTTTTCGCACCCTCTTTTGGAGATAGAACAAAATAACTTTGGTTTTTAGTAAAATTCAAAAATATTATGTTGTTACATCATATATATTAAACATATTAAGTACATTTTTTAACAACGACATGTTAGAAATTGATGAAATTTTGTTCTACCTGCTAATTATTCTTACGCAGTACCATACACTCCTAATTTATGGGCATGGGCCCCTAAATTAGGGGCATGGGCCCCTAATTTAACGGGACCCTTTTCAAAATATAAGACGCTTTTTGTATTACCTAAAAAATTAAGTTTTTTTAAATAAAATGAGGCCCTAATTAGGAGAACTTTTAGAAGAGCCTCTAACGACACTGTTCTTACGACTTACATTTACTTTAATTACCTGTAGGCGCCGGCCCTGGACAAGACTAAGACGTCTAATTTAAAATGGAAAATTTGGCTGCGTAATAATAATATAAACGTATTAATATAATATAAACGTATAAAATAAATTATGAAAGGTATATAGGAAAGAGTTATGTTAAAAAAAATGTAATAATAAAAGAAATAACATTATGTAACTATCTGATAATTCACAACAATTCAACTAATCTAATCACAAACTCCATGCAAGATGAACTTGATTTTATTTTTCTTAGGCCTGTGTATCCATTAATAGAGTTTAACTTTTTATTAAAAGTTATTGCAAATATTTACAAATAAAAAATTGTTACTCAAGTTAACGTCAGGAGGCGTTCAGGTTGTGAAACATTGCTTTAACTCTTTCATAGTGGCCTTTATGTCACTATGGAAAACCATCCAAACCAAACAAGTGGGGGAAAATGAATATAAAAGTACAAAAAAACAGACAAAAAAAACACAAGCTAAACAAAAATTTTTATCAAGATTTCAAAATAATATTATTTCAATGTGTTTTATATTTATATTTATACTAAATAAATATTTTATTTAAATATGTTATTTATATGTATATTATTTATATTATTATATATATATATAAATATGTTATTTATATTTATACTAAACATATAACAACCCTAAAAATATTTTGACTTTATTAATGTTTTGTAAATGTTCAATTTATTATTGTTTTATAAAATGCAATATCAACAGCAGGCATGTATGAATACATGGAAATGATATCATTGGCTTTTGCAACAGATATAGACTGATAAGAAGCACGAAAGCAAGCTGCCATTGGTATATTGGTATTTAATGGTTTTGCAACAATGGTTGATGCTGCTTTCTTGACAGACTTATTTATACGAGCTTGTGAATAATTATCTGAAAACGAGGTTTTAAAAAAAACATGGTATGGCAGTCCGTTTCGATAAACAAGATTTTTAACCTTTAAATAAGGCACTAACTTATAACTTGACAAACCAGCGACAACTGAAAAATTCTTTACATCTCCTAATTGCATTTGGTAAACACAGAAAGGTTTTTTACGGTTTACATTTTTAATAGCTCTTTCTAGCCCAAGTGGACTAAATATTTCTGCAGCAGAGAGGGATTTTTCAATCTGACTATGAATGTTGTCACATTCTTGAATGCTGGAATGACCTGGCTCGCAGAACTTCTGTTCAATTACTTTTATTTGTGGGTATTGTGTTATAAATTCACACAAAGCTGCTGACATGAAACTATTGCGGTTTTGTGGTACACATGAATCGAACCAAAGTATGAACTTATTTATGTCAAGGTCAGCCATGATTTTCAAAAGCAAACATGTTACAGCACTGGCTAGATCATTTCCTCCACGACCAATCATGGCTTCGTGCCAAAGGATGCAATAACCCTTCCTGTTAAGCGAGCAATGACCAGTTAAGTTATAATTTGAAAGTTTTCGTTTGTAATAAAAGTTTCCCACATTAGCTCTAGGCAAATTTAAAACATTTTCAAGGTCAATACAAACAATTGCAGTTTTAGAATCAACATTTTGGCGATCATTTTCACGTTCAGTTTTGGTATCATTCCTTGATTTTATGTGCTTATTATAACTATCTGTTTGTTCATTGCTTGCATTAACAATGTTGTGATACTCATAGCATGTGTCACATAAATCTTTCTTCGGTTTTTGAAATTCTATATTGAACTCGTGATTAAAGATATAACGATACATATGTTTTTTTGCTGGAGGAGAGACATTTTCATCACAATATATTTTATAAAGATCATACATTCTACCTATATTTAGTGATCATTCCATGTATTCTTTATGTGTCTTTTTCCTGCTATAATGAGCATCAATTCTTGGGAAAAGGTTAATATGGTCTCGTACAACTTGTTTATACTCTTCTAGTAACCTTTTTTTAACATGTTTCCCTGATTTTGATTGCAATGGTGTTCCAGTAGTTAAAGATTTATTAAACTTATGAAAGTAAAACACTCTATGGCTGCTAATATTCAATGTTGAAAGATAATATGATTTACAAACTCTATATTGTGTATTAGAAACAAAAAAGCTATAATAATAAGATGTTTTTCTTCTTGAATTGTCACCAGCAGCTGTCCGACAGCGTTTTTTCTCCAGATTTTCAGTAGTTTTAGAATAGAAATGTTTTTTTCCGTCATCATCTAAGGTCCAAAAGTTATCAAATATTATTTGACGCTCAATCTCAGATATATTGGTAGAACATTTAAATTTACAATTTCTGCAACTTTTTAGTGCAACAATAGATCTTTTTGGCATTTGTTCTCCTTTCGTATTTTTATAAGCTTTACCCGACTGACGTTGGATTTTTCTTACACTTTGTTTCCAACTACTCCTATCAGCTTTACGTTTCCTAGAAACCCCACCATGGGGCGACCGACGAGAAGGTGTAATGCCAAGCAGCTCTAACGATTAAAATTTTAATTTTTTATTATCCAGGATGTATAAATAATAACTTTTAAATTTAATCTAAAATGGCACAAGCGAAAGTCGAATTCTACTTTTCCAAAATTATAATACAAATTAAGTTGAAAAACTACCTTCGTTTTGATTTAGGGCAGCTTCCATTTCTTGGTCAATATTTGCAGTTGCCATTTTGAAAACAACAAAACTGATAAAATTATTCCGAACAACTTTGTAATTGTAATATGATTGGTTGATTGGAGATAGAACAAGATAATATTTTCAAGTTTGCTCATTAAGGAGATAGAACAATGCAATATTGCATGCAATACCGTGTTAAAAGTTTCATTTTTTTTCAATATAATTAAAGTAGAACAACACAATGCTAAAATATTCGAAAATAATAAAATCTCAATTTTTTCAAAAATTGGAGATAGCACAAGATAATTCTAACGTCGCGATATTGTGGTTCAAAAATATTTTTTACTAAATTTTATTATTTGCCCTAAAGGTCCCTTAAAGCCACTAAACATTTGACAGGTCCCTAATATTATTAAAAAAAAATTATTTAAAAATATGTCAACTTGGTACTCAAAAGAAGCAAAATTTTAAAAATTAGATTCATTTTTTATAAAAAACAACTTAAAAAAACTTATTATTAAAAATGTTGTGAATATTACCTTTTTTTTCATTTTTCGTTTAAAAACCATAGTTTTTATTCAAAAAAACCTAATATTGTTTTTTTCATAAAAAATACTTTTCGTTTTTGAAATTTTTAAATGATTTTGCTTCTTTTGAGTACCAAGTTGACATATTTTTAAATAATTTTTTTTTTAAATAATATTAGGGACCTGTCAAATGTTTAGTGGCTTTGAGGGACCTTTAGGGCAAATAATAAAATTTAGTAAAAAATATTTTTGAACCACAATATGATAGTTGAATGGGAAAAACTTCAATTAGCTATGTTCTGAAAACAAATTAGCATACTGAACAGCCCTGATATATATATATATATATATACATATATATATATATATATATATATATATATATATATATATATATATATATATATATATATATATATATATATATATATATATATATATATATATATATATATATATATATATATATATATATATATATATATATATATATATAAAGATATATATAGCTATTTTTAAGAACAATGAAAGTATAGCAATATGTAAGTTTAGATAAATTGAATTGAATTATTTTTTGTGTTTTAGGAACAATCCACAGATTTTGTGCAGACTGAGTGTTTACAAACTGATTTCACTGTTGAAAATAATCTTGTTTCACCTAATCAGACTAGTTCTAGTACTAGTTTATCAACTTCCAATCCCTTTTCAGATTCAACACATTCACGTGATAGCAATGTTCTTCATACTCCGTATCCAGTACTTAGAATAGACAATATCAAATTTGTAAATTTTTTAACATATATAGCTGTATTGCAAAACTATAAGGACTGATTTTAATTTCTAAAAATATATTTCAAAAATTTCTACTTTTTTAGGATGTTCGAAAACTGCTTGATGAGCATCAAACAAGTAAGCGTGTCATTGTTGAATATGAGACAAGTGGAATGTTAATAAAGTACAGATTTGAAATGGTTCATATCCTTGTTAACATTATGGTAAATAAAGTTGGAAACATGTAAGTTATTACATTGATTTTATATTGATTATAGATTTTACAGTTTGTTCATTTCTGAATATTCAAATGCATAGTTATTAAGTTTTTTAGAACACTTTTTTATAATAATAATATTATATAAAGGCATGAACAGAACATGTAAATGTTAAGTTAATGATTCATGTAACCATGTAGAAAGTCTATTTATTTAACTTACCTATAACATTTGTTAAATATTGTGGTTATTAAATTATTAGGTATTTACTTTAGGTATCCATCAAGAGCAACAAAAAGAAATCTTGCTATGTCAATTATTAATGCTTTTCCTAAACTGCACTCTGGTGGACCTCTAGGATATGTTTATTATTTAACTTTGTTAACTAAAAGTAATTTGTTTTTTTGCTGATTAAACTGCATTATATTTAATTAAATATTTAGGAAAATTACTATTGCGCTTATAAGGAAGTTGAAGTAAATGGCAAAAAAAAAGAAAATAACACCTCATGGACATATCGAGGAGCAGCTGAAAACAATTAGGAAGTTTGATGGTGTCCATGCCCAAACTACACGAAAACGAAAATCCGTTTCTCAAACGACTTTTGATGTTGCAGGTAAGCTAAATGATATTGTAAGTCACGTTTATATATACAACAAATGATGCTTAACTATTTTTTTCAGTTCCTTTTTCAAATGAAGAACGAAACATTATAAGTGAGTTGTCATTTGATGACATTCAGTATGATCGAAAACAATATATTCTTGAAAAAACTAGAGTATCGTCAAGAAACTGGATTCTGTCATCAAAACCACCTTTTCATGATTTTATTCGGAAATTTCCCCTATTTAAAGATTTAGGATTTGATGTAAGCAGTACTGTCTTTTACATTTGTAGTGTATATCCTTATGTCTTGAATTCCTGCTGGAATATTGGAGTATTACTATTAATATTATATTATATTAGTATTAAGTATAATACTGTATTAGTATAATACTGGAGTATTACTAGTGTAAAATTGATTTTCTGTTTGAAAAACATTTCATGACTCTTTATAATCATTATATTAGTTTCAAAGAGAGTTTACAGCAACATTTGAAAATGCTAAAGATTTGCTTACGCAATCGGAGGATATGGCTCCTCGTGTTATTACTTGGGCTCGTAGAAAGGAGAATCCGATGGCAAAGCAACTACTTTTAGAGCTTGACAGCCAGCTAATACCTGCAAATCGTATGTCCCATTGTCTTCTTTAATTACTGTTTTCTTTTTTTTTTTAACTTTTATTAACTATTAAAACTATTATACTATTCTAAAATATGTATATGTATTGTTTGAGTTTTTAAATATTTTTTGAAAATCAAAGATCGATGCATGGAGTTTGCATTTCACTTGCTTCCATACATTCTCCAAGTGCCTCCTAGAAATAAGGATCGACCGTCTACAGCTGAAGTTGCAGCTCACTTTATTCAAATCTTTCCTGTAAGTTTAATATTTCTAGCTAAATGATATGTGCTATAAACTAGGTCAATAATACAAAATAGGTCAAGGAAACCAGCTTGTATATTGCATCTTAACTATTTTTATTTTTATAAAGGAAACTACAGCTATGGAGACGATAATTGATGCAAATAGACATACCTTTTTCATGCATCCATTTGTTATTGCAATAGGGGCTCGAGGCAATTTGATTCAGTCGTTTATTTTTATAGAAGACAATGTTATTCCTATTAGAAATGGTATGTTAAGTGCAGTCGACCGTTTGCTGAAACTATATTTTGTAATCGATATTAAATATGCGAAAGAGTGCAAACATGTTTTACATTTTTTGCAATGTGTAGTTATGGGTATTCATGACGATTTGCCGTTGTCAAGAGGAGGCAGTGATCTTTCGTTGTTTGTTAATGAAAAATTAAGGAGTGGATAAACTTTTAAATGTTTTTATTTTAAAGGGTACGAAAATATATTATATCAAGAAAATATCACGTACTTTATAAACATTCCAGTTGTCTCATATTCAACAATGACACGTTTACCTGTCTGATGCTCATCAAGTAGTTTACAAACATCCTAAAAAAGTTGAGATTTTTTGAAATATATTTTTAGAAATTAAAATCAGTCCTTATAGTTTTGCAATACAGCTATATATGTTAAAAAATTTACAAATTTGATATCGTCTATTCTAAGTACTGGATACGGAGTATGAAGAACATCGCTATCACGTGAATGTGTTGAATCTGAAAGGGGATTGGAAGTTGATAAACTAGTACTAGAACTAGTCTGATTAGGTGAAACAAGACTATTTTCAACAGTGAAATCAGTTTGTAAACACTCAGTCTGCACAAAATCTGTGGATTGTTCCTAAAACTATAATATAAAGATATAATATATTTATAGATATAATAGTTCAGATATATTAGATATAATAGTATATAGATATAGTATAAATAAGTTTTTAAAACTATAATATAAAGATATAATACATACATAGATATAATAGTTTAGATATATTAGATATAATAGTATATAGATATAATATATATAAGATATAATAGTTCCTAAAGCTATAATATAAAGATATAATATATCACGAAAATATATAATATCAAATATATCAAGTTTAAATAGGTCTAATTACGTATAATTCAGTAATTACGTATAAGTCAGTTTTATTCATCAGAATAATATATAATACTGATGAATAAAACTGACTATATATTCTGTTGAATAAAATTGACTATAGTCAATTTCAGTGTAATAGTCAATTTATAAGAAAATAATCCCAAGGCGGGGGCTACTACCCCCTTGGACCGCCCCCCTCCTAAAACCCTCCACTGCCTAGTAATAGTTTGAAAATGTCATTTTATGTATTATAGTTTTTTATGTTACTCATAATATTTACTTGTAGACTTGATTTTATATAAATAAATTGAGCTAAAAACTCTTTTTTTTTTAGTTAAGTGTCGATAGCGTAATTTTTCATATGTTTTCCCGACTTGTAACTTTTGTTATTGTAATCATGTTTGTAATTCTGTTGAAACTTATAATATAAATTATAAAATTGTTTAATTGAATAAACACGAGCTTTTTTTTTTTAATTGTTATTTGCGTTACTGCAAAGAACTTAGGGAGAAAAAAAATTATTTTGATTAAACCAAAATATATTCTTTTACATTTAGATCATATATTGGAAATAGTTTTTTTCAAACAAAGAATTCTATATAAATAATAAATAATATATAATAAATAATTAATTTACCAGAACTTTCTCATTATAGGCTACTTTCTAACATGTTTAATTTTTTTTTGTAAAAACCAGTTTGGGTTCAGATTTTGTACCGCGCCAGTTCAGGTTTTTTTTAAGAACAGTTCAGGTTCAGGTGAATTGCCTGAATGTTTGTCTGGCACTTTTTGAAACAAACTAGTTCAGGCGAAACGCCTAAAGTTCGTATAATTTACCGGAACTTTTTCCTGAACTATACTTCAGGTTATCCAACGCGGTTGTTCAGGTTTTTTTAACGAACAGTTCAGGTTCAGGTGAATTACCTGAATGTTCGTCTGGCACTTTTTGAAACAAACTAGTTCAGGCAAAACGCCTGAAAGTTCGTATAATCTACCGGAACTTTTTTAAGAGTATATAACTCTGAGCTAGAATATCAACTAAATAATTCTAAACTATAAATAACTTATAATTATAAAAAATTTAACTAATTATAAAAACATAAACAGTTTAAAAAAATAAAATCCAAACGCTAAATAATCTATAATATAACATTGAAATAATAACAAAATCAAAAAAATTTCAATACTAACGTTGTTGTTGAACTTATCGCGATACTTGATTTCCCGGTTTTCGCTTTAACGTTCTTTCGCTTTAAAACTTTTCGCTCTAAAGGCCGTTTTCCACAAGACGAAATATTCGCGCGAAGCGAATTTTTTCGTTAATAAGCATGCGCAGATTAAACAATTTTGGTAATTTTTCTGATATTTTTTCGCTTCAGCGTTTCGCTGCAGCGAAAAAAAAAGTCGGATTCATTTCGACTTTTTGCGAATCGCCATATGCGAAAACCAATCAAGTTTTGAATATTATATCACGTGATGTCAACAGTAAAAAAAAGCGAAACCATATTGTTTTTAAGTAAAAAAAAAACAAAATTATTAACCTAGCTTTATTATTAATTTTATATGAACTTACTCTGAAAATTGGCAAGCATGAGTAAATTCATCAAACAAGGAGCAAGGCTTATACAAAAAAAAATGACAAGACATATATAAAACTAAATCGAGAGTTTACAAATATAAATTTTCACACGGTCAATTACGAAAGTTACACTTCATAAGAGTGTTTGTTTTCAAGTGGCTACACGAAGATAAACCTTTTCGTGTAATAACCTACATAGAATTAAACCTGCTTTTCGTTTTTGCAGTAACAGTTTTTAATAGAAATGATCATTTCAGAGTTTAGCATTTATTTTTTTATACTTTTTTGTAAAAAAATCTTATATTAAATGATTATATTACAAAATGATATCACATCTTACATATAAAGACAGAAATGTTATTATTAATGCACGGAAAGAAATTTTACCATGTTTCAAAGTAGAAAGTATGCTAAAAAATGTAATAACTGCCTTTAGTTAAACATACACCCATAAACTTATTGCTGCCATTTTTATTGTTGACAACGAAAAAAAAGTAGCGCGAAAGAAAGTAAGTGGAAATCAAAACAGCGTTTCGTTATAGAAAAAAAATTCGCTTCGCGCGAATATTTCGTCTTGTGGAAAGACGAAAAGTTCGCGCGAAGCGAATTTTTTCGCTACGACGAAACGCTGTCTTTATTATTGTTATTATTATTATTATTATTATTATTATTATTATTATTATTATATATTTTTATTTAAACTCAATTACAGTTGAACAACTTTGTCTTTAAAATTACGATTACTTTTACAATTTATAAAATAAATTCAGAAAAAGTTTTTTTTTTTTTTTTTGTTCTTTTGTTTCCGGTTCCTCTTCCACTGCTTGAGTAGCATATGCCAATGGCATAGCAAGATGGATATATTAGAAGCCAACTTTGTTGAATATGTTGGCCCCAATAATATGAAAGCCTTTACTTCCTTGTCGATTCGCCGCTTTTTTGACAATAAGGTTTGAGTCATCGTTCATTTTAAACATACTAGCCAAAGATGGATGGCACACTCCCGTCTGCTGCGGAAGATAAATTTTCATTTCTTTTTTTTTTACTTCGTATTTTCTTTTTTTATATATGTGTAAGTTTTTGTTTTGGGCCATATAACATCTTTATTAAATATTTTATTATTAATTATTTTTTCGTTTTATATTTTACTTTACCTTATATACATATGAAGGCGTAAGTAAGGCAAATAGCCAGATAACATAATAAAATAGAATACAGTATTATATGTTTAGAATATCACATCCCCTATGCATGCTGTTTAAAATATTTTGTTTATTGCTTAGAATCTGATATCGTCACATTTAATTTGTATATTTTTTATGAAAGTTATACTTATTTGTTGCACTTGATACTGAGTTGACTACGGAAAAAAACACATACTGAAACTTTTTAGTCCTGAGGTTACCCATTGTTTTAGGCTGGTACCCCTTTTATTAAAGAAATTGAATTTGGTGTATTGATGAGAGTTGATTTGGTTTGGTTTCCCTCTTAAATTGCCACCAAAAAATTCAGACATAAACATGTTACAACAAGAAATGCAAGAAAAAATCAAGCAATTAGAAAAAAAAATAGACGAGAAAGGTGTTTTGGTAAAAAATCTTGAAGGAAAGGTGAATGATTTAGAAAATAAATTAGACCAAGATAAATCAAAAGATTTAAAAAATTAGAGCAAAGTCGTAAAAAGAAAAGATAAAACAAATCAAGATCAAAATGATATTATAAACACGGTTCTACATGAGGAAAAAGAACGTAATAAAAGAAAAAAAAATGTTATTATTTTTGGTGTTAAATTAGCAAATCATGATAACATTGACAAAGAAAAATTTGATGAAGATATGGTAAACAATATTTTTAACTCAATAAATGCAGACAAAGATAAAATAAAAAAAGTCATTCGATTCAAAACAAGAGACTCTTAAAAAATACGACCAGTTATCAATGAGTTAGACATTGTGTCAGACAAAATAAATGTATTAAAAGCTGCGTGCATTAACAGAAACAAGATAAATGAAGTCTATTTTAACTCAGATATGACAGAATCTGAAAGAGATTTCATTAAACAGCTACGTAGTGAAGTTAAATTGTTAAATGCTAGTCTAAATCAAAACGATGAATATTACTACACTATTCGAAATTTTAAAATTGTGAAACTCATAAAAAAACTAAAGCAATAACAATCATCAATTAATTTGTATCAACCTGCAGTAATGGCTGTCCTTTTAACATATAATCCTGTATCTAATTCAATTCTAAATGCTAATAAATGTCTTCTAGTGTTAGTTTAATGGTAAAAGATGTACATAGTAAGAAAGTTGGTGTTTCAAATGATTGTAATTTAGATTTAGATCGACATAGAAATGATGTTTTATCAAATAATTTAGTGATATTGAACAAAAATTCTACAGCATTGTTAAAATGTCACCTTAAGTGCAGATACACAAACGCAACCTCGCTTAATAACAAATTTGAACTGTTTTTATTGGAAATAGCCACATACAAGCCTGATATATTTATGATAAGTGAAACGTGGTTTACGCCCTCAAGCTTTATACAAGTGGAGGATTATAGTATTTTTAATAGTAATCGGTGCAGTACAAATTCAAGTAAATGTCGTGGTGGTGTAGCTATCTATGTAAAAAATAATTGCGTTGCTTATGCTCCAAAAGAAATAGTTCTTAATGCTACATCGGTTGAACAAATATGGTGCGTTATTAAAATTGAAAATTTTAGCATATTAATTGGCTGCATATATTGCCCACCAGACGCATCAGAAGCACTAAACCAAAAAATTAATACCATCCTGAAAAAAGCCAAAACTTATGTTGATAGTAAGAAACTTTTAGGTATTATGATAGCTGATGATTTTAATTACCCGAATATAAAATGGAGCGATGAAAACGTTCAGACAATAGCGAATAATGATACATCAGCAATAAAATTTTTGGATAGCATAAATGATGTTTATTTACATCAAAATGTAATAAACCGTACATTTAATTTGACTACATCGTCATTAGAAGGCAGTACACTAGACTTAGTTTTGACAGATGCACCAGAACTTATTTCATTGATACATCATAATCCACCACTTAGGTAACATAGATAAAGCACATCACGTACTATTTTGGCATTATGAATTACCAGCGCATGTCAATATAAAAGAATCATATGGTAAATTAACACTCAATTTTAGAAGAGGAAATTTTGATGGAATGAATGATGAGTTCAAATAAACTGATTGGTCAAATCTGTTTCACAATAAAAACATCAATGGATGTTATGAGATATTTGTTATAAAATATCAAGAGCTATCCAATAAATATATACCAAAACGTGTTAATATTAAAAAGAAAATGACACCGTGGATTGAAAAATTTACAAAAGTGGAAATTATAGAGAAATCAAATTTATGGAAGAAACTAATATCGAATAATTTCAAGTCATCAGATTTAACAAAACAATACAAACAACAGTGCAAATTAGTCGACAAAATTGTTTAGCAAAACCGTATCGAATACGAGAATAAGATTATCATAAGTCAAAATACAATCCTAAAGTTTTCTTTAAGTATGTGAACGCAAACAACAAAATTAAATCAGACATAACATCAATTTTTGATAAATTTGGCTATTTTCATACAAATAGAGAAGCAGTTGCAAATATCTTAAATAAAAGTTTCAATTCTGTTTTTGTTCATGAAGATAAAGATAATATTCCACTTGTTACAACTAAAACTGATAAGACTATACAGTTAGATGTAGACAATCTGATTACTTGTGACTCAGTTGAAAAGAAATTAGAACAATTAGATATCAACAAATCAGTTGGTGTAGATGCAATTAGTCCATATGTAATGAACAAATGTCATAGCACCATTTGCGAACCATTAATACTAATGTTCAAAAAATCTCTAAAAGAAGAAAAGGTACCAGAGTTATGGAAATCGGCAAATGTCATTTCTTTGTTTAAAAAGGAGAAAAAAGTGATGCATCAAATTATAGACCGATTTCACTAACATCGATACCATGTAAAGTGTTGAAATCAATCATTAGAGACGAAATGATAAACTATTTATTGACGAATGGTTTACTAAATGAAAATCAACACAGATTTAGAAAAAATAAAAGCTGCTTAATTAACTTATTGGAAACATCCTCACAGATGCTTTAGAAAATAATTGTTTTATAGATATGCTTAATCTGGACTTTGCTAAAGCATTTGATAAAGTACCACATTCACGTTTAGTCCAAAAATTAAAATCATATGGGATTATAGGCAACTATCTAAAATGGATAGAAGAGTTCTTAAGCAATAGGAAGCAAAGAGTTGTTCTTGCGGACTGTGTATCATATTGGTTTCCAGTTATCAGCGGTGTACCACAAGGATCAGTTCAGGGACCGTTTCTATTTCTATTATTCATAAGTGATCTACTGGATCACGTGAATAACAACATGAAACTTTAACTTTATTGTCAATTAGACATTGACAATATCATGGCATGGTCATCTACTTGGCAAATAAAATTTTCAATAAATCAGTTCAAAAACAAACTAGATAAATCAAATATTTGCAAAGACATTTTATTAAAAAATTGTTTTTGGTTTAGAAATTTAGTAATTGTGCAAAGGGGCCATCCATAAAGTACGTACGCAGTAAAACCACTGATTTAGGACCCCCCCTCCCCCCTTGTACGCACTTGTATGCTTTCAACGACCTCCCCCCCCTTCTGCGTACGTACGCATTTTTCATTACAAGTTCAGGCTCTCCTCCCCTTCCTTCCCCAACGCATTAATTTTTCAAAACATTAAACACAAAAAAACATTTTGTTAATTTCTCTGTGCTTAATTAAAAACCGGAAAGTTATTTGTTAATAACTTTCCAGTTTTTGTTAAAGAAAGAAAAATATTCTAAAAAAGAATTCTTGTTGCGAGTATTTATATTTCATATTTTCTCAAATGGTGACTTAAATAAATCAAATATGTTATCAAATACAGGCATGAACTCTGCTTCCACACTTTTATAATCAATCTCCTAACTGATACCTTCACTTTTATTAATAGATTCACTGTCACTTACACTATCCTCACTCTCCATTTCAACCGTGTTTTTTTTTTGTGTATGTGCTTTCTTGTGCCGTTTCATTGCAGCCTCGCTTGGCCAGTATTTATTGCACTTGTCGCAAATTCCGATTGAGAGCTTTTCCTTTAACGATGGGCAATACAGATCAAATGGTATAATTTTGTATTTTAATCCTTCTATAGGTATATCATGTAGCAAAAGTCGATGTGTCAGTGGTGCAAACGTTGATTGTTTTGATACGTTTTTAAAATATCGAGACGGTTCCATTGCTTTGTAACCATTCTCGCAGTATTCGTAGATTGCCGGAAATGGAATGAAACGTTGGGGGAAGTTTTTCAGCCAGTTTGTTTCAAACGGTGTGCAACATGACTCCTCTTGGCATTTTACGATTTGTAGGCTGTATCGCGATTGCTGACAATGTTTGTCTACCCAAACAGGATCTGGAATTGGTGGTTCATATGCTTTCCCAACTGGTACAGCCTGGCAATGAACAGGATACCCGTCAATGACGGTTTTCTCCCAAACTTAGGATAAAACGTCAGCCGCTTTTTGAAAGTTCTCTACCTCCAATTCATAGTCGATTGTTTTTCCAGAAGAATCAAGGTGTTTGCCAAAAAAATCATGAGGAAGGACTATTCCAGCCAAATCACGAGAAAGAGGTGCCATTCTTTGTTCTACGGGGTTAAAGGCTGAAAGGCCAGCTGCATTCACACCATGAAGAAGGGCATCTAAATTAAGCAAGCGAAAGAGGTCAACAGCAGTTGCTAAGGTTTTAGGGAAACGTGGTGCTTCATCCTGAGCTCCATCAGTCTCCATTAACATAATTAGTCTACGTTTAACCAACTCGGTTTTAAAAAGCTCTCTAACATCAAAAGCATGTGTAAAAGCATTTGATGTATCGTGTTTCGCACTTCTTATGCGTATGAAAGTGTCCCCACTGTATGATACATTTCCAGTATTGTTAACTTCGCATACGCCATACACTGATGGGATCAATTTGTGCTGTGAGCTAACGACAAAATCGCGATCCATGAGTTTGACCTTGTATTCCATATGCATCAGCAACGGCGCTTGAAGGCTTGCTGCAGCAATACCCAATGGGACCCTGGCTTTATCATCGTTGGAAATGAAAAGCACAGCTTTTGGTCCAAACAATTTGCAAACTTCGAACATGTCGTCAATGAATGATTTGGCAAACATTCTATCGTCATTTTTTTTTTCGCATTGAGTTTTCTGGACGTAACAGCTTTACTGGAACTGTGCTGACATGTTTTTTTCCTTCAGAAGTGTTTCCACGTCGTGGTAAAAGACGAAGGTACAAACCACTCCTACTCAAGGTAAAGCCTATCTTTGTCAACTCTTCCTGAAGGTCATCTAAAGTGGAGACGCTACGGAGACATTCTGTTCTTCGACGTTCGTCAGCTGCTGATAAATTTTGCACAATTTTTATAATTGTTGATAAAAGCTCTGGTTGGTCAACTTCGAGACGCGGTCGTCCAGTATGGTTTCGACTAAACTGTTTCAAAGCACTTGATGCTTCAGGGATGTTCTGACACACAGTTTCAATGCTCTCTTTAAGTTTTTGTCTTCGTTTTCTTTGACGAGCTGATTCACGAATCAATCTGAAAACGAAATATCAGTAAAGCTTTGATTCCGTTATAAAAACTTCTATACTTAAGGTTTCGCAACTTTTGGCTAATGTTGCAAAAGAAAAAGTACGCAAATTCTTATTTCAAATAAGAAAGTATTATTTACAATAAGATTATAAAAGTTTCTGTCTTTGAAAATGTTTGGTTTTTATAGCCAAGACGCTTTTCTATACGCATAAATAAACTCTGTATTATTTAACATATATCTCTTGATATTTAATAGAAACCTGACAGTTAAGCATTCTAAAATGAAATATCAAATAAAGAAATACATAACTAAATTATCTTACCTGTCCAATTTTGTTTTTTCTTTTCTTATGGCTTCTTTCACAGTGTTTATTTGTTCCTTTGTTACGGTAGATAAACTAGAATCACGTACGACTATCAAGGATGCACGTTGTGATTCAAGATCTGAGATTTTCTTTCGACTCCTAACTTGTGCCGGATTTTCTCTTTCTTTTTTGTTGTTAATTCTAATGTAGTTAAATCTAAATTAAAAAATGCCAAAAAATAAGCTATTATAAATTCTTGACAATTACTACTAATTAATTTATTTTGGATATAGAAAAATAGGTCTAGTGGTCAACATTATAAATTTCTGTGACTGCTCTAAGGTCGTACGATGTAGTTTGATTTACAATACGGTTAAACTCAGTAGGCCGGGTGAATAAAAAAGAGCAATTGCTTTTACTCAGTAATTGTTCAGTTTTACGTGAATAAAAAATTGAGGAATTATCCTCAAATTTCTATTCACGTAAAGTTGAGCGTTGTTGGAGTAAATTGTTCAGCTTTACGTGAATAAAAATTTGAGCAATCTTGGTCAAATTTTTATTCACGCAAAGCTGAACAGTTACTGAGAAAAAGCAATTGCTCTTTTTTATTCACCCGGCCTAATGTATAGAAAATCACAAGAGAGAAAAAGTTTTTAAAATTTTACAGAAATTAGCTTACTAATTTCAATCCTTGCAGGCTCTGTCGTAGTTGCATTTAGGAAACTTCGTGTTTCATTTGACGAAGACGGCGCTGGATGGATATCTTTTTTCTTTTTGCTAGGTGGTGAAATGGTATTTCCCCAGAATGACATAAGTGATACTTTCGACTTTGTTACTTTCTCTTTTAACTCATTTATTTTTTTTTCATACAAGGATTCATTGTTTTTTACTATTTTCCACAACTCTTGTGCTTGCTGATACTGCTTTTGTTTTTCAAGTGTTGAATATGCTTTTTTATATAACTCAAGGAATTGAAGGTATTTTTTCTCGTTCCCGCGCGGCATCTTGGTCATAATAAATAACAAGTTTTTTTTCCAATGAGGCGTATTGAGTTTTCGAATAGAATCATAAAAGTTTTTTTTGTTTTAGTTTACTCAAGATAATTGCCGTTACATTGCATCATAAAAAGTGCTGGTTTCCATCAGCATTTAAAGTAACTATTTTTTACAATTATCACAATGATTGTCATATGCATTGTCACATGTATGTTCATTTCGCTTCGCCTGTCCTTAGCAATCTTAATGTATGTTAATATTAACTTTAATGATAAAAAAAAAAATAATATTACCTTTTTTTATTTTATTGTTTTTTAAAAACAAAATATTAACCTTTTAAGAGAAATGGGAAAAACCAGGTTCGTAATTAAAAAAAGAATTCAGAAGAAGTTTTCTTTGATTACAGTTTTGTTACTTTTCATCTTGCTACAGTCGAATTATGTTGCAAAAAATGGAAAACATTATTTGGAGATATTATAGCTCGATTTTTTCTCTCCTCGTTACTTATAAAGAAAAATAAAAAACAATTGTAATTGAAGTCAGAAAAAAAAATAACATATATTATAATATGATTTTTTAACGTGAAATTCAATGTTTTTATAAAAAAACATTAAAACACGTGAAATTCAATGTTTTTATAAAGAAGTTTAGGAGAGATAGTTAAACCGCGTACGTACTCGCTGTCGTTAACACCCTCCCCCCCCCTGTACGCATTCGTACGTTTCAGGATAACCCCCCTCCCCCCATACATGCGTACGTACTTTATGGATGGCCCCAAAGCTGATACAGTGCAATATCAACTGTTATTGCGCTCCACAACTGTTAACACCAGTTGTTACAGCTACCTCTAATTATTATTATTATATTATTATATCACATCTTCTTATTGTTAGAAATTAGAATTTTTCATCCCCTCATATAGGTTTTTAAAATATTGCATAATAATTAGTAGATAATACGTGATATATATAAAAAATTACTAAAAGATTATTATTTCTAGAATAAACAGTTAAATTATAGTACCATTTCTTTTTGACTTTATCTACATCTATAATAAATGTATTTAAAATGAATTTCTAATTGTATTTTATTATGTTGTATAATTATAATATTATATTTATAATGAATTTCTTATGGTATTTTATTATATTGTAAACGTACTTGTACTATTCGGACGCGTTTGGTACCCTGCTAAGAACTGTTACTTCAAGTCGCATCCTCGTTTTTGTTATTTCTAACGGTGCGGTGATATTCTATACCCTTACAAAAAAACTAAGCGAACTTCCAGCGAAAGTTCGCTGGAAATTTAAAAGATCACTGGAAATTCACTAGGATCACTGGGTTTTCAGCAAAGTTCGCTGGATTTCCATGGAAACAAAAGACTTCGCTCGAAGTTCGCTGGAAATCCAACGAAAAACTTCCAGTGATCTTAAAGTTCACTGGAAGTTTACTGGGTTCCCTGGGAAATATTTCGCCGTTCTTCCAGTGATTTAAAAAGCGTGGCTGTTACAACTTCTACGAGCAGTTGAAACTTGGAAAATTGATAATATATCTTCTTCAAATAATATTTCAAATTGTTGTATAAAAGTAATTCTTTTTATTTTATTTTTTGCATCTGATAGATTATCTATAGTGCGAGTTTCAATTATTAATTCTACTCTCTATAACAAAATCATCAGGTATGTTGTTCAAAATGTTTATTTCTCTTTAGTATTGATTGTTATGCATTTGCTTTATGCGAATGCTTTTTATTTAGCAATTCAACTTTATAATTTTATAAAAATAATTTAATTTTTATAATATATAATTTTTATTTTAATAAAATAATTTTTACAAATGTGACATTTATAAACGTGACTGTCACATTTATAAATGTCACATTTATGAAAATAATTTTTATAAAATTATAAAGTTGAATTTGCTAAATAAAATACATTTGTTTTGTAAAAGTTACTATTTATTTTGTAAAAGTTATATTTATTTTGTATTAGGTACTAAAAAAGTAAGTAATTAAGTTGTAAAATAAATAAATAAATTAAATTAATTAATGATAACAATACATTAAATATTTTTTTTCAAATAATTTTTTAAATTTTAAATTTTTAGTGATTATAAAGGTATAAATTAAATTTTAAGTGATTATATATATATATATATATATATATATATATATATATATATATATATATATATATATATATATATATATATATATATATATATATATATATATATATATATATATATATATATATATATATATATAATCACTTAAAATTTAATTTATACCTTTATAATCACTATATATATTTAATTTATACCTTTATAATATATATATATATATATATATATATATATATATATATATATATATATATATATATATATATATATATATATATATATATATATAATCACTTAAAATTTAATTTATACCTTTATAATCACTAAAAATTTAAAATTCAAAAAATTATTTGAAAAAAAATAATTAATGTATTGTTATCATTAATTAATTTAATTTATTTAGAGGGATATATAATATATCCCTCTCTCTGAGAGAGAGAGGGATATATTATATATCCCTCTCTCTCTCAGTCTGGGTCTATTATTTATTATTTTTAATATAAAATACTTAATCATAAAGACATTTAATCATTAAATATCTTTATGATTAAGTATTTCATATTAAAAATAATAAATAATAGACTTTTTCTTTTCCACACTGAGAGAGAGGGATATATAATATATATCCCCTTCTCTCTAAGTGTATATATATATATATATGTATATATATATATATATATATATATATATATATATATATATATATATATATATATATATATATATATATATATATATATATATATATATATATATATATATGTCCTTTATTTATTGTATGAAATCTTTTTTCTTTTTTTTTTTTAGCTCTAAAAATCCAAACCGAAAAGAATGCATAAAGTGCTTTACAAAAGATGAACTGACGAATTTTTTAATTCTTTTTGTTTTGTGGTGATATTTTTTTATCAGATGGGAACGCAATTCATTTGTCAGATGGGAACGCTAACGTGAAAAAACTTTTTAAATATAGAAACATGCGTAATATAAAGTAAAGTTCAACAATATGTTTACATATGCCTATAAAAAACACGTTTTACATTAATATTAGTAAATTAACTTTTTAGTTTCTTGTTAAAAATTCTATTCTGTATTAAAGTTTATTTCTGAGAATTCGTAATTATACTTAAGATAATCTTATCCTACATTGTGTTTTAATTTATATAACTCGATATTTTAAAATAAATATATTACTTTTTTATCGCGCTTAACTTGTCTTATTTTGCGTTTATTGGTTATAAATTTTTAAAATGTTTAAAACTTTTTAAACTTTTATAGCAAAAAAAATTCGTTTTAAAAAAAATTCCAGCGAATTTATTTTTATACATAAACATGAAAGTTTGCGAGAAAAGATCGCTGGAAGTTCGCTGGGTTTTGGAACAAGTTCACTGGAAATTTCCAGCGAACTTCCAGTGATCTTTAAAGATGACTGGAAGTTCGCTAAAAAAGTTCACTGGAAATTCGCTGGGTTTTGGAAAAAGTTCGCTGGAAATTTCCAGTGAACTTAAGAGATCACTGGAAGTTCGCTGGGTTTTGGAACATTTTTTCTCTGGAAGTTGGCTGGGTTCAACGCCGTTAATGAACGTTCTTGAAAGCAGACGAACTTTGCGATTATATATATATTTAAGTGAATTTTTTTTAGCACAACTAAAACATAAAAAAACAATTTTTTTTATTTTCAGTCCCCAGACAGCAAGCTTACATTGGGCCAATGCATGATGATGCATTGGCCCAACGTTGAAAGTTGATGTTGGCCCAATGCAGGTTTGATCATTGGTTAGGTATTGGCTAACGTTGTGTACAACATTGGCCCAATGTTGTATACAACGTTTACCCAACATTGGCCCAACGTTGTATATAACATTAGGCCAATATTTTATACAACATTGACCCAACATTGTATACAAAATTGGCCTAACGTTGTATACAACATTGGCCCAATATCGAATGTTA